ACTACGGATCGAATTCTGAGGTTGTATGCACCTCTAGTAACTCCGCTACATCAGCCGACAGCTAGAAATCCCTACGCTTATTTTGTAAGGGAATAGTGAAGACTGCACCCATTTTCAATGGCCGAGTTAAGTCAGTACCTCAGTTTAAGAAACCAAGCATTATACTTAATACCCCTTTTGAGTCAAAAGTACTATCCAGGTTCAAGAATTTCGTGGTCCCATATCTATTATGTTTATCATTTAAGGTTAATCTTAAGTATCTTTCGCAAAAATTCTAGGACTCAGTAATTCCAACTGGGTTTGCGGAATGTCAATTCTTTCCAAAAGCAGGTCCAATCGTATTCAGTAATGTATGCAATTTTCTCTAATGCAGTTATGGTCAATGGGTCAACGGCAGATCAAGTGAAATCATGGGCATACGCCCGGCGGTAGATACCTGAGCTTTTCAAAATAACTACTAAAGAACGAATATGTCACTTATAAATATATATGCACATACGCGATTATATCTACATTGAAATTGTGATTTTCTATAAAGTTTAGTGCTGCACACTTTTATATTTATACTAGACAACTTTTCACGGGCTTTTTGTCTTTAATTTAACTTTCGCTACTGGCCCGGGGTAACCAAGGTATGCTTATTAGGGCGGGTCGAAAATCAAATTTTTCTCAAATCCCTTGGTAATAGTGAAAATATATTGTCTCATGAAGTCAACAACAAGCCTGCAAAATATTAGTCTTTCATTTTAATTGTAAGAGCCCGCGCATCGACCGCCAAGTGACCCACAGCACGCTAGTCGAATAAGACCAATTCTTGTTAAAAATTCTGGGTTTAGCCAAAAATTTTGGTGCATATTATTAGATAATGAATCCTTTAACGCAAAAGATAAAGTCAAGTATCATTTCGCGCAGCCCTTTATCTTATCGTTAATCTCAAACTCATCTATTTTCAAGAAAATTTTAATTGTTCTCTTGATAATTGCACTGGCCTATAGTCAAAAGATGTAAAGAACAACATTAATATAGCTGGCGTACATTTAGATCGCTAGTTCCAAATATTCTAATCTTTTTATAATATTAGCTATAGTTTGCGAACTTTTGCAAATTTAGGAACAATTTCGGTAACTCTAATAGAATAGCCATTATTTTCCATCATCGCGGAAAAATTTTGTTTATGCAAATTAGTATGGAAACACTGAACAGGCACAACTTCTAGACACACTAATTGGTTTACTTATGTTTAGGCATACAATATAAAAATTGCAAATATAAGAAAATGATAAAAAATTTTGTTCAAGATTTTTTTTATTTTAAAATAATTTGTTTATAATCTGAACTATTTTAGTCATATTATTATCAAAAATAAGTAACATTAAATCTCGCCTCCAATTTGTTAATTAATTTACCAAAGTTATATCGAAAAACTTAAGTGGATTTCCAGTTTTTTTCTAAAAAAATGTCTCTTCAATTGTATAAATAACCTTTAAATAAAAGAACCGGATTACAGATAACTGTGCCAGCGAGTAACTTTTTTCGTTCAAGCTGAATGCAAAGCAATATCGTCCAGTTGGAGAGTCCTCAAAAGGATTTCCCAGGATATGTTAAAGACTATTGCATTTACCTACAGACACTTTTTTACATAATGGAATTAACTAAAATATTTATGTATATCTAAACACTTATTGCACGTCCCCTACTATCATATAACGGCAAATTTAGAAACCGCGAAAAATGTGCTTCTGCGGCGACTAATGAAACCATTCCGCACCAGTTTTCAAGACTGCAAAAATGGACTTAAAATATGAGTTTATCACCCTAATTGTAATGTATGTAAATACTTATATATTTGAAACTACTATTAACTTGTCGAACGATTCCTAATCTTTGACAATACATTCATTCACCACGATTTTGAAAACTCGGCGTGGCCAAGTCCATGGTCATTTTAATATTATATAAACATCCGAAAACATTAAAAGGTTTGAAATAAATCTCGTCTCACTTTTTTGTATTTTTCACTTGGTTGCTGAAGTAATGAAGAATTGAAAATTCATAAGGGAAAATTATAGTTTTTGCAAGTTTTATCTTAATATCTTAAAAACGTGTAGACTTATTGAAAAATGATAAAAGAACGTGAGGTACTAAATTTAATAGCCCTTAATTTGATATATCGTCTTGTTTATAACAATAACGCATTCCATAGATATTACAAGCCAAAGTTTCATTTTCAAATTTCATACACTTTGATGCAATTGCGCGGGCTAAAGATAGGTTTTAAATTAATCTTTCGTGGCCAATAACAATTGTATGAGACCTAAGACATCATAATATTACTATTACAATGCGGTCAAATGGCTTTGATTTTCCCCCATACAAAATCGACCCAGCCTAATGCGTATGTATGCATTTGACTGCTATAACTGATAGCAGATACAGTGAGTCTTTCAACTTGAGGTTTCCCGATTGCCATTTGGATTTTTCAGAGCACGAGGTACACCCTAAACCTCAGCGCTCCTGCGCTGAAAGCTGTCGCTGTCAACCACACTTATTTATTTTCGATATATTTGCTTGCACCCCAAATTCACATTATTTTCTTGTGATCAAGCCGTAAAAAATTTTATGGAATAAAACTTTGAAAATTTATTGCTCTTGCAGCGTACTTGAACATAAATTCACTCAGTACAGGCTCTCTACAAACGAGACAGTCATCGTCAACACCGAGTATGGTCAAGTGAAAGGCATAAAGCGGAGAACCCTCTACGATGTGCCCTATTATAGTTTCGAGGGTATACCTTTCGCAAAACCACCTGTGGGTGAGCTACGTTTCAAAGCACCACAGCGGCCAGAGCCATGGAATGGTGTACTCGATTGCCTTGGTCCCAAGGACAGAGCGGTGCAATTGCATTTGATGACAAATAATGCGGAGGGATCAGAGGATTGTCTATACTTGAATGTGTACACTAGAGATGTGAGTATGAAATACAAGTTTGTAATTCTAAATCTTTATTCTTCAACATGTGTGTAGTTGTCATCCGATAAACCACGTCCAGTTATGGTATGGATACATGGTGGTGCGTTTGCTGTTGGCGAAGCCAATCGAGATTGGTTCGGTCCTGACTATTTCATGGAAAAGGATGTTATTTTAGTTACCATACAATATCGCCTGGGTGTTTTCGGTTCGTGCTATTAATTAACTTATCATACTATGTATATCTCTACCCACAATTTCTTTACTCACAGGCTTTCTCTCCTTAAATTCACCGGAACTGAATGTGCCTGGCAATGCTGGCTTAAAGGATCAGGTATTAGCTCTTCGTTGGGTAAAGAGTAACATTGCTAACTTTGGTGGTGATACAAACTGTATAACTGTTTTCGGTGAGAGTGCTGGTGGCGCTTCAACACATTATATGTGTATCACCGAGCAGACCAAAGGGCTATTTCATCGTGCTATTTTGATGTCTGGCACCGCTATATCAGAATGGGCGAACAGTGGAAATGAGAGATATGCATATCCGCTGGCAAAATTAGCCGGCTACAAGGGTGATGATGACGAGAAGAGTGTGCTGGAATATCTTATGAAATACAAAGCAACCGATCTGGCTATCTTGGAAACGAAGGTGTTGACTATTGTGGAGTTGAAGCGTCAAGTTTTATTTGCTTTCACACCAGTTTTGGAGGCATATGAAACATCAGATTGTGTGATTCCAAAACTTCCGCGTGAGCTCATGAAGACAGCTTGGAGTAATACAATACCTATCATGGCGGGTAACACTTCGGCTGAGGGTTTGCTAATGCTGCCATGTAAGTAAAGTTTACTCTCTCAATTGGTTTAGAGAGATCTCTCAGTTAAAAATAGACAATAAGATAACTGATTTATATATGCTTTCAGTTATAAAAGCGCAGCCTGATTCAATTAAGTTACTCGAAACCTGTGTCAGCTTTGTACCGTTTGAAGTTGTAGACGAAGAAGAAGATATCGCGATAAATGCTCGAAAGCTAAAAAATATACATAACGAAAATGATAAATTGTCTACTGAGGGATTTTTAGATGTAAGTATGATGAAGGTATACTATTTTAATGGATTAGCAAGGAAGTAGATTCCCATTTTATACCACTTTTAGGGAAACGATTATATAATAGATTACAAGTTCAAAGTGGTAATGTGTGTTATGAATGTCGCACAGTTACGGTGCGATTCGAAAGTTTTAACTAAGTCGTAACAGTATAGCCGTTGAGAATTAAACGTATATTAAAATATATTACGCGATGGTCTTTGCACTCACCTGATGCCGACGAGTTCAAAAGATAGATTTCAAGTTTCTGGATTTATTTTCTCCAGCGGAAATGCTAAGTATTGAAGGGTCCTTTAGGGTATTGAAATCAAATCGATAAATAGTGAAGAGCCAGTGTTGGCAAAATGTTAATCGGATTGACGATTTAAAATTTATTTTATTTTATTTTATTTTATTTTATTTTATTTTATTTTATTT